CATCACAGAAAGCAACAAGCTTAGACACATCACCTTTGGCAAAATTCAAACCCAAGCTTACACTGCCTTTCAAATATCTCAGAACATGCAAAGCTTACTCCCAATGTTTAGTGCAAGGAGAAGTCACAAATTGACTAAGTTGTTGAACCACATAAGTCACATCTGGCCTGGTCATATTAAGATACAAAAGTCTCCCTATAAGTCTCCTATATTGATCTGGCTGCTCTATTAAATCTCCATCATTTTCTGTGAAACTGGTGCCATGAGGTAGTGGAGTTTGAACAGCCTTGCAGTGTAACATCCCCATATCACCCAACAAGTCCAAAATGTACTTCTTTTGACCAAGAAAAACTCCATGCTCTTGCTGAATAAGCTCAACTCCAAGGAAGTATTGTGCCACTCCCAGATCTTTAATGGTGAAAGTTGTATCCAAATAGCTTCTTAAATCACTTATCATTCCTTCATGTGATCTTGTAAGTAAGACATCATCTACATACACTAACACTGCAAAGAAATCTGATCCCCTTCTCATAGTGAACAAACAATGATCAAAGGTGGATTGTAACAACCCAAAAACCCCAAGTTTATCACATAACTCCAAATTCCATTCTCTAGAGGCTTGCTTTAATCCATATAAACTTCTAACCAGCCTGCAAACTTGGCCATTCATTGCTTTTGTGTATCCCTGAGGTGGTTGCATGTAGACCTCTTCAGACAAGTGCCCATGAAGGAAGGCATTATTCACATCCAACTGATATAAATTCCAACCTCTATGTACACTGAGTGCAATAAGTAGTCTCACTGTCACTAACTTGGCCACTGGTGAGAAAATATCAATGTAATCCACTACTTCAACTTGATTGTAACCCTTAGCTACAAGCCTTGCTTTGTACCTTTCAACTGATCCATCAGGCCTTCTTTTTTATTTTGAACACCCACTTTGATCCAATGGCTTTCTTACCTTGTGGTAAAGTGGTCAGTTCCCATGTATGGTTATTATCAAGTGCATCAAGCTCCTTTTGCATTGCATCTACCCAGCCTGGATGTTTGCAAGCTTGTGCATAATGTGATGGTTCTTTGTCAATTGAAACATTGCTCAGAAAGGCAGAAATGTGACAAATGTAATCTTGCTGCCACACTGGAGGTTTCTTATCCCTTGTACTCATTCTCAGCCCACAATCATTTTGTGATGGATATTCTGGTTCTCTCAAGTCATTATGTGTGTCTGTTGGCATGATATCCTCTTCATCTTCTACTGCTACTGGGATCACTTGCTCATTCCTACTTGGCACTTGTTGATAAGGATAACAACTTTCCATGAATGTCGCATCCCTTGATATGAGTAGTTCTGCAGAATCCAAATCATATAACTGATATGCCTTCTTTCTAGACACAAACCCCAAGAAGACACATTTGATTCCTCTAACACCAAACTTAGTCATGTGTGGAATGCTTTTAGCTGCATAAGCCAAACAACTAAAAGGTTTTAGACCTTGATAATCTGGTGCTTTCTTTGTCAACTCCACATAAGGTGTCTTCCAGTTTAACACTGAGTTAGGTGTTCTATTTATCACATGTGCAGCAGTTAATACTGAAAAGGGCCAGAATTTCATAGGTAAGTTACTTTGAAACACTTGCCACTTCCAACAAATGTCTGTGCTTCCTCTCCACTATGTCATTCTGTTGAGGTGTATATGCACAAGTGGTTTCATGGACTATTCCCCTGTCAGCATAAAATTGTACCAGCTCCCTTTCATTAAACTCCTTACCATTATCAGTCCTTACTCTTTTAACATCAAGTTCATATTTTGTTTTGACCATAGTCACAAAGGCTCTCAATAGCTTGCTGGTATCTTACTTATGTCTCATAAGGAACACCCAAGTGCCTCTGCTGAAGTCATCCACAATACTAAGAAAATATGGTGTACTAGTGATGGATTCTTCAAGACATGGTCCCCAAATATCAACATGTATAAGTTCAAAACAGGTTGTAGTACGTATGCTGCTGTTTTGAAATAATAATCTGTGTTGTTTAGCCTTCAGACATATCTCAGAATTCTTTAGTACCCCCTCATCTTTCTTGTTACTCTTCTTCAATATACTCAGATGCCTCAATGCTCCAAATGAAGCATGTCCAAGATATCTATGCTAATCCTGTATGGTTAGGCTGCAGGATGACTCCACCTCTTTCTTTTCCTCAAATATATACAAGTTTTCTTCTAACTTCCCACAACCAAGGATCTTGTTGCTGACTTTGTCTTACAGGGTACATTGTGCATCAAATGCCCATCTCAACTTATCACTGCTACACAACTGAGCCACTGACATAAAATTATACTTGAAATCTGGCATATACAACACGTCTTGTAGTGTTATGTCTCTATTGATCATGACTTCTCCTTTGTCTTTGACACCATTTAAAGATCCATCAGGTAAGCAAACCATCACTGAGGTTTCCATTTTCTTAAGGTTTCTCATGATGTCTCTATTTGTGCATATGTGTATGCTTGCCCCAGTATCCACAATCCATTTGTTTGTTTCACTCCCTTCAATTGTGGATAAGGCATACTGAATGTGATCTTTCTCATCCACTCCTGTGAAACTTACAAATTGGGCATAATCCATTTTGTGCAATACCTTCTTCTTTTCCTTTAATGTATTGAGTCAGTTCATTCAGTTGCTTAATCACTGAATCCAGATCTCTTCCTTTAGTTTCTTCCTTTTGTCCATCTTTCGCTCTCTCTTCTCCACTTTGTAGCATTGTGTGGTTAGCATAAGTTCTACCCTGCTGATCCTTATAGTCCTTATACCATTCTGGAACTCCATGCACCTTAAAATATGTAGCAATGGTGTGGCCATTCATCCCACATTTTTCACAGTGCAATTTAGCCTTCTCTTCTTTGCTTAACCTAACACCACCTCTACCTCTGCCTCCATTCCACTGACCTCTATCATATCCACCTTTTCCACCATTATTTCCTCTGCCTTGTCCCTTTCCTGCACCTCTTGTCTTTATCATCATAGCCACATTATCAACCCTCTCACCATATGTTTGTTGCACACTCATCTGCCTTTCTGTAGTCATAATCATGGAATAAGCCTTGCTCACAGTTGGTAAAGGCTCTATTAAAAGCATCTGGTTCTTAACACTGTCAAAACTATCATTCAATCCCATTAGAAACTGATACAACTTGGTTTCAGCCTCATGTTGAATCATCATTTTTCGTTTTTCATAGTCACAAGACTGAATTGGAACAATGCAAGCATATTCACTCCAAAGCTTTTTAAGTTTGTTGAAGTATTCAGTCACAATATTATTTTCTTGAGTTAAACTTGTAATTTCCCTTTGCAGCTTATATTTCATTGGTCCGTTACTCTCACCATAACGTTGGCAAATTTCTTCCCACAATTCTTTAGAATTTTCTGCATACAGAAATGATTTAGCTATTTCCTTTGACATAGAGTTGAGTATCCATGAAAGCACCGTCCAATCTACCTTCCTCCAGGCCGCAAAATTTGGATCATTCAAATTAGGTTTTGCGATTTCGCCATTAATGAAGCCAAGCTTCGTCTTAGCTCCCAACGCAATCACTATAGATCTTTTCCATGACAAGAAATTGTTTCCAACTAGTTGATGAGAAACTAGCAACATACCAGGATGATCGGAGCTAGTCAACAAATACGGATTTGATTCGACGATTCTTGATCGCAGTTCTGCATTTGAAGTGAGCAGCGGCCATGGATTTCCTGCTTGCTGTGCCATCACTTTGAATCTCAGTTCCAGTCAAGCTCGATTCTTCGAAATGAGCTTCAATCAAAAAACAGCGGTTCCCCAAAATCGTTTGCTCTTGATACCATGTGAAAACTCAGATATTTTGCGGAGAGAAATTCTCCATTTTCGGGTGTATTATTTCTTAGCTAAAAACTGTATGTACATGTCCATTTATATACAAATCCATACATGCAAGAGGAAGACTTAAACGACGTCTCTTTAACTAACCCAAGCGACGTCGTATTGTACTTAGCCTAAAATAAAACCGCAAAGAGTGAAGAAAACGTGGGAACATTTTCTTCAAATGAAAAACACAAAAATGAAGAAACAAAAATGAAACCGAAAAAACAGAAATCACTGAATAGAACTTCATCTTCATCTTCTTAGTTTATCTTCATGATCCATATTCCAACATTGATTTGGGGTTTTTCTTTTATCGGCGAGAGGGTTCACTCCGAAGCTGCATTCTATTAATACTTCACACACATATAATTGCAGTGCAATTACCAAATTTTTTATTGTTAAAATAATGTAAACCTATATAGATATATGTGTATATTGATCCCTTGGTTAGAAAACTTGGATAAACTAAATGCACTGTACTGGTGGTATGTAGAGTGAATCTCCATTGTGAAA